GCGTTTCAACCCTTAGCAACAGTGAATTTTCACCACCACACATTTAGCTGCTCCTTCACTAAGGTGTAATGTGTCAGAACACTTCTTTGGGCCAAATCTCCACCTCAGAGCTGTAAACAGTGAGCGACGTGCTTAATGATGTAAGCTGACTCACAAGCATTCTAAGCCCAGGGGACAGCTGCCCCCAATACTGACGTCCTTCTTGGAGGTGTGTGGAAGTGATAATCAGAGTTAACAGGCTCTGGGCGCTCACCCGTCACCTCAGAGGGGACTGTGTCGTGCCCACTGCTGGACTGCTCTCCACCCTAGTGAAAACTAGAAGGGCCTCCCTTCTGTTTAGCCCAGGCATCCCTGGGTGAAATAGAAGTCAGACGCTCCATAAGGATGTGAGGCAGAAGCAAGGCAGGAGCGAGGCGGGAGCCAGACCCAGCTCCACTCCACTGACCTGCCGGTGCTTGTCCAGGATGTTGCCAAACAGCCGGTAGGTGTCCGGGAAGCCCTGGGAGCGGGCGCACTCCCGCACGCTCACCACACGGTGCTGCTCTGGGTGGAGCACACGGCCCTGGGGGCGAGAAGCCACGGTGAGGACGACGAACAAGACTCAGATGCCATCGGGGCAGGGGAGGGGCAACGTGCCATCGAGCAGTCCACGAGCCCATCTCTATCGGTCTGCATCCCTTCATTAATGTGCTGCCCCCACCAGCCCGCGTCTCCATTCTCTTCCAGGCCCGCAGTGCCAGGCGTGGGACCCAGGGCCCCTGGATGCCCCCACCCCTTGGCTCGATACCTGCTTGCCCATGGGCTCGGGGTTGGTGACGGTCGTGCTGAAGAAGCCATCCCACTCGAGCCGTCCATAGAGGCCTGCCCAGTGGTTGTGCCTGTTCCCAGTGTGGGGCAAGCACCAGGGGATGAGGGTGTTGAACTGTCGGGCCACTGGGTCACAGGCTTTGCCTGTTGAAAGAGAGTGCTGCAGTCAGGCTGCAGTTCTGGCGCAGGAACGAGGCTGAGCGGGCGTGGACTGGCTTTTGGAGCTGCAGGAGGCAGCACTACTGTGTGGAGCAGCCAACAGTCCCCGCTCACTGGGCACAGCGTTTACTGACTAACGCTTTCAGCAGCCACTTGAGCAGGAACGCCCAGACTTGGCGTATCTGTGCCTGACCCGGGTCTCCGGGTTAAGGAGCGGCAGCCCCAAGCGTCTCCTGCTGGTCAAAGGAATCCCAGAAAACAGTCCTTCCCCGGCCCATGGGACTGCAGAGAATCAGAATCTAAGGGGAATGGCGGGGGTTGGGATGGGTGGCAGCCTCATGCCAAACTTGAGGAAGGCACGCCCAGGAGCCGAGGTCCCACCTTCCACGCAGGAGCAGACCCCTCGGAGGGCCCCGGAGCTGCTGCGGCCATTCTTCCTGTCGTGGTGGGTGTACCGCAGCTTCCTGGCCATGGTGCCATCAGAGAGCCGCACCTCGATGTTGGGCAGGTCACGCCAGTCCGAGCCCGGGGCCAAAGGGATGTGTCGCATCCGGGCAGCCACCAATGCACTCATGTCCTGAGAGAGCAGTGGGCCCAGTGGTCACAGTCAGCCAGCATCTGTGTCCACAGGGGTGGGCACTGTCTAGACACTAGGAACACCCTGGTGACCAGGACCCCCATGGG